GCAGATAAATGGGACTAGTTTTGTTTGGGAAATTTGGTTGGCATGGACGAGTTGGACCGAAGGGTCTGCTTCCATGCTGTATGACTCTGACTCATGGACTATGAAGCATTTTGGAACAATGTGGCTGCATGAAAAGCTACCATATGAATGAAAGTCATATATTTTCTTCATAAATAATTCAGTATCTGTTTGCTAATATGCCACAGACCATTTCAACTGGGATTAAACATCTATCAGGAAATTCAGAAAGGATTGAACGTTAGATATACCACTGTGTTTATTTAGAGTGTGTGATTTTTCAGAATAAACACTAGATAAAACAATAAGCAACCATTATGTCAATTTGATTGAATTAAACTCAAACTTCAAAACTGAAATTGATAGAGTTTGTAATCCAAGGATATCGATACTGTTATATACATATATAGATATCCAATGATGTATATATGATATACAAGATAAGCCAAGGGTTACACTACCAGTTAAGGACAGAGTATGATCTAATTGAATAGCAAACTAAGCTTGAGTCGTTTACTTCTATTCCTATGTTCTTTCCTAAGGAAGGATAGCATGGAACAAGGCCATTTGGCCTATTGTGCATGTGTCAGAATTGTTCCTTGCATTATAACATTAGTTGATGTTTACTTTACTCCATAGAGTAATAAGGAACTCAGATGAGGACAAGCAGAAACATTACTTGGCTTTTCAGGCATCTGCTATAGCCTCAACACTTCCAAAGCATTTTTGAAGATTAAAGTCCTTCCACTGGGTCTAATCATTTGATGATGTGTTAGTGCAAACAGAGAATGATAATTCTGGATATGTGCGAAACAATTACTATGCTTAGCTTAATGGTCAGGTAGGGTCAGTTAGTTCAGTTAATTAGAGCATGATGTTTAATAATAGCAACTGTGTGGGTTCAGTCCCCCTACTAAGTAAGGCCTGCATCTTCTACTAGCTCAGTCTATGAGTCATGATTACCAACTCTTGGACATTGCCCGAACAGATAGAGTAATATAGCTGTGCAATATCAACTCTGATCAGTGTGAAGGTGTAACTGGAAAGTTGTAAATCTAATTAGTGTGTTGAATCAGAAAATGGCTGAGTTTGATGTTACAAAAGTTAAGCAATTTAGATTGTTTTTCATTTGATTTCTAAATACTGGCCACCATACATGCAGCTATGGTAATATGGTCATATGCATTTGGTATTTGAAAGAAAAGGGAGTTTAAAATGTTAATTGTTTTAAAGACGCAAATGATTAAATTTGAGATTAACGACACATGCGTTGCACCAAACTTGTAAACATTAGCACAGAGAAAGGAACCCAGCAAACCCAGGAATTATTTTGAATGATAGCTGAGTGTCAAACCCAGGAACAGCAGCTTGATCAAATATTCACTATAGTCCTTGATTGACAACACAGTTATTATGAGTCTGCAGCAGCAATTTCCAAAATTTGGTTTGCGTCCCCCAGTGAGTGCTATGTTGGCTCCGGATATTTGCGCACTGTGTCAGTCTAGGCCTAGGTCAATAGAGATTGTGAGTGTTAGAAAATCTAGGAGGTCATACAGCTGAACTAGGAAGGCTTCAGACTTTACTGTGTTTCTGCTACTTTCAGCGATTTGTACAAGATCTTTACCCTGGGATAATGATATTGCTTTGCACACACTGGCAATCTGGCCAGAAGGGTGGACTGTGAGGGACGGAGTGGGTGGGGAAAGTTGGTCTAGTAAGAGAGATTGATTACTACATGTGGAGGGGGAGGAAGTAACACTGGTTACAGTATGTGGGGGAGGAAAGAGGGGCTGATTACAATGTGTGGGGTGGGGAAGAGGGCTGTTCACAGTGTGGGGGCCAAAGAAGAGGGGCTGATTACAGTACATGGATTGTTAAGTGCAGCTGGTTACAGTGCACCAGGATAGAGACAGGAATGTGAGGGGTGGGGAGAGGGCCTGATTACTATGTCTTAGGGTGGGGGAACTGTTTGGCGTTTTGCTGAGTGTTCTGTCATTGGGGCAAATGGAAAGCTTGGCTGCCCCCTCCCTAAGTATATGTGATATCAATTTAGAAAATATTTTAAGGGCATAGATATTTTTAATCAAATGGTAACTGGGGTAATGCTCAAATTTTCATGATTATATACTGAATATTATCATGCCACTTCCTTTGCTGATGTTTGTGGTAATATTAATTTTCAAAAAAGGGAATTGCTTTGAAAAATAGTTTGGGAAACACTGGTCTCGATTTTCATTTTGTGGGGACAAACAGCAGTCTGAAGCCAGCACAGAAACTAAGCTCCATGCATTGCTTTTCCATGTATGAAATGAACAGACTTGTTTTCAAATAACTCAAGGAGAAAAATCTTTCTTGTTTTAATATCTCAATGACAAAACTGTATGGAATTACTTTATATTATGTTTTGCGCGGGATAGTGACTTGCTAACCTTTTGTTAAATACTGGACTCAAAACATTGGCTCTGTTTCTCTCTGCATAGATGCTGCCGAACCTGCTGAGTTTCTCCAGCATTTTTTGTGTTTGTTTCAAATTTCCAGCATCCTCAGTATTTTGCTTTTATTTGTTAAACGCTAGTTCTTAGCTTCAGTCCGTCCCTTAATGACAGAGCTTGTACATTGAATCTATTAATGCGGTTGTGGGTTGGTTGATTGATCCCTGATTTATTTGAGCAATAGGCAGGAAAAATAGTGCAAGATCCAGTTCAGAAAATGAGCAGTAAATCCTTGAGAATCCTACTTTTAGATGTTTAGCTAATGGTATGACATACCTCTGGAGCAGGTGGGACTTGAGTATGGGCATTCTGGCCCAGAGGTAGACACTACTGCTGTAGCACAGTGCTGAATTTGTAGAATATTTCTTCAATACACAGCAATAATTTCTGTGCACTGTATTTAGCACCACTAATATACTAAAGAAATATAAATGCACGTCTTTTTTTTCTTTTACTTAACCCTACTCATCTATTCACACACTCAGTGTTTCATATTTCTTTCTCTTCATTCTGCTTCATGCCTTACAATTCAGTTGCTACCTGATCTTCACTTGCTCTTTACCGAGTTCATTGTTTGTTTTCCGGCGTCGTTGGTCTCCTTTTCTCTCCAAACTGTTTTTTTGATTGGCTGCTAATCTGTAATCATTTTCACTGCTGAAGAAGGGAGGATGTTTGGTATGGACGCCTTTCCCATCTGTTTCTGCACAGAGCTGCCTCACCCACCAATGGTTTGTTTTGATTGACGGGGAGGCAGCAGTCCTGGACTCTGATTGGTTAGTTACCGCACGGGGAATCTCGGAACTTCGTGATTCTATTGGATAGCTAGTGAAGTGCCCGCCTTCTGATTGGATGGAGGCCCGGCTGTCCGCACAGCTGATTGGAGGGTCCCTGGACAATGCGGAGTGGCCGGGGCGCCTGCGCTATGCCTGTGGGTGATGGCGGACAGAGGGCGGGTGGATGAATTCTCCGGGTGGCCGAGGCAGAAAGAAGAAGGGTCCGGCGCGAGTATCGCCCGACGGCACCAGCGACAGACTCTCTCTCCACAAGCGGAACCTTTACTACTTTGCGTATCCTCTGGTCGCCGTTTTCAGCTTCCTGCGCTTCCTGGCCTTCCACCTTTGGCTCTTTTTCGCCTACGTCTGCCAGCGCCTGGCCGCGATGGCATCGCGCAAGGCAGCCCCGGCCGTCACCACGGCCGAACCCGAGCAGATCCGCCAGTCCCACAAACTCGCATTCGACTACATCTCCACTGCTCTCAAAATCGACGAGGACGACAAAGGTAAGCAAGGTTCTCCGCACTTAAAGCGGGCTGGTCGGGGGAGAGCTTTTGATGGACAGTTGCAGGGGTTGTTGGGTCAGCGCCCTGCCCCTTTGACCCAGGTGAGAAACCAACGGATAGTGTTTATTTGCAATGTTAGTGTGCGTCACATTGTAACTGTCTGGCGTTGTAATATAATTGTAATGTTTTATAATAGATTCTGTACTAGAATATTAAATTTATGTGATTCATTGTGACATTGTAGTGCAGCAAGTATTATATTTATAGTTCACGTTGTAATGTAGTGTTATTGCACTACATCTCGCATTGTGTATATTACCATGTTTTGATGTTGTAGAGTAACGTGATACTTTTCGCAGTACATTGTAATGTATTTCTTGCCTTACTGCCATGATGTAGCACTATATTGTGTGCCTCTGTCATGTGATGTTGCGTGATAATGTGTATACTTTACTATGTTACATGGTGCTGCTTTGAAATGTGTTTGCATTGATCTGTGTGCTACACTGTAATGTAGTGTAAGCCTTACAGCATCACAGAATAAGGCACCAAGTGAAAGCATGATGTGTACGACTGATCTCAAGGAAAGTGACTCTCAATGAGCCAGTGAGTTTTGAGATGCTGACTTCCCTTATTACAACGTCCAGCCAAAGTCCAAGAACATTGACTACTCAGCTTAATCAGATTGGAAAAATTCTCAAAGCAAAGCCAAAAACAAAAAGGTGGTTTGCTTTCTAACAGTTTTGCAACAAATTAGATAAAGATTAGGACATACATGCAGGATTAAAGTAGAAACTGAACAATCATTAAAAGATATTTTTTAAACACTCTTTAAAAAATATAGAATGATCATCATGATAAAGAGCAAATGACATTTCAAACTTGTAAAACTATATTTTTTTCAGCACTGAGTTTATGCAGCAATATTTATGACTCAGTACAAGTTAGCAGCACTATGACATTTCCTGCAACAAGATTCTGTGATTTGACAGTTCAGTGGGCTTTACGGTAAGAATGGTACCTGTAGTGTACAGAATCTCTCAGATGACAGAATCAAAATTAGGGTTCATTTCCAGTTTTCATTGTCTCATCACAGGCTAGGGTAGAACAAAAGTGTCCAAACATCTGGTGCATATTTGCCTAGTTTTTTGAAGCAAAGGAGAAAAATGAGGATGAGATGCTGAAAACTGGAGTTTAAGTTGGTGGACTGAGAGACTTTGTACACTACAGCTGCTGGTCTGTAATGTTCAGCACATTTAATTAGATGCTGCATGGAGTAAATTCCTGCATTAAAATAGAGAACTTTAAAAGACAGTAAGTTCTTGTTTAAAATTTTTGCATTGCTGGAAATCGGTGCTTTAGGTGTAATATTGAGTTAGATTCTATAAAATCTTCTGAAAAAAACACTAACACTATACACTGCAAGTTGAAATACTTTACATTGCTAGATTTCTGAGAAATAACTTCTCAAATGTTTTTCAAAAACTTTTTTTCTTATAATACCTCCTGCTTGCTGCTAATCATGCTTCTCAAACCTCTTGGTCAGTGCTGTTTCTTCACTTACCTGAGCCTCTGATGTTCCCCATCCTGCCTAAATTTCTGTTTGAGACCTAGCTGACAATGGAGTTCTGATTTTTTTTTTAATGCTCCAGCTTGTCTCTTCCCATTCCTGAACATTTTCTGTGCCTGTGGCTTCTAGAGATGAGTGGCTCTTACAAGAGACTGGAAGATCAGCTTCAACAATCACTTAAAATAAAACATGGATTATACCAGTCCCAACCTGGCACATCTGCACCACTGTGGCCTGCAATTTTGCTTTTGCTTTTGCTTTTGCTTTGGATTGAATCTAGCTCTTGAATAAAAAGGCATGTTCAGGAGACAGAAGCAGTGAGAGGTGGGGTCAGGAAGGGGGAAAAGCCACAAATCAAGGGTTGGGCAAGGAGAGAGGCTGCACGTCAGCGGCTTGAAGAGAAAGAGCATCCTAATGTTGAAGGATCGGACATAGAGATTGACCCCATGATGCAGGATTGGGGAAGGGGTACAGACCATGAGTTACAGAGTTTAAGTCTAAGAAGCTACTCCAAATTGGAGCTAATTGGTGTGTCAGAATTCACTGTGATCTCGAATCTCATGATACTCAGCAAACTAGTTGCCCCCAATAACTTAGCTTTATTTTGGTTCAGCAGTGAGAAATGGGGCAACATTAAACAAGGAATTACTGTATTTATTAGATGTAAATATGTCAGCATATCCTGAGGTTGTTTAAAACTGTTGCTGTTAACAGGTTGACTTGTGCTCCAGCTGCAAAAATGGATAATGGAGCCTACTGACTTTCTGTGCCTCAGCTTTGTAACCTTTGTTTTGTCTCTGAGCAATGGTTTAAATGTCTCCACCTAGTAAGCTGGTAAGGTTTGAATTGAAATTTTTTGTGTGCAGCTCATGACATGATGTAAATGGACAAGCACTGTATTGTAATTATTGGGCAGTGCTTAATCCTTAACGAATACCAGAAACAGATGACCTGCTCAATTTTCACATTTCTGTACATGGGACCCCATTGTGTAACTTGGTGCTAAATTCCCAGCATTGCAGTAGTATCTGTGCTTCAAAAGTACTTGATTAGCTTCACGGTAATTTAGGATATCCTCAGTTTGTGTGAGGAGCTGTAGCAATCGATGTCCTTCTCTTATCCATATCTTGTATGTTAACTACGTACATGACTACTGTAATTGGTAAGTGAAAGAGCAGAACTAACCAAAGATAATAACGAAATTGATGTTAGTTTACTTCCATTTTCCAACTGGTATAGTACCAGGGTAATTTTGCTAGAACTCGGACTATGCCGCAGTTTGGTTTTATATTAAACCCTATGCTTTCCGTTACAATTTCTTATTCCACATTTTAAAAACCGAAAGAACTGCGGATGCTGTAAATCAGGAACAAAAACAAAGTTGCTGGAAAAGCTCAGCAGGTCTGGCAGCATCTGTGAAGGGAAAAACAGAGTTAATGTTTCAGGTCTGGTGACCCTTCCTCAGAACTTCCTTATTCCACATTTAGTATTTTTTTTCATCAACCTGTTCAAACATGTTACATTGCACACATCTGGAGCAGGTGGGTCTTGAACCCAAACGTTCTGGCCCAGAAGTAAACCCATTATCACTGTGCCACAAGAGTCCTTTTATTTCATGTTTATTATGAAAACATTTTCTGTAAATTTCTAATGTAACGGCATATCCCTATCAGTGCCACGTTATTTTGGAAAATGCATTTAGAGCATGAGGCATTCACAAAAGTGTTTTTTTCTTATTACAGTTGTCATAAGAATCTATAATATCACTGGGGAATTTTTTTTACATGAAGACGAATGGATACTGAGGTAATAGCATGTTGCTTGCTTTGAGAAAAATAGTTGAAAAATTGAATTAGTTTTTTTGTTGGAACGATTGTCATATGATGGAAATATTTAAAATTGAGAGAATGGATAGGTTTGATAGCAGATTATTTCAAATAGTTGAGAGAATTATATATTTAGAAGGCCGGAATAATGTCATCAGGCAGATTTGGAAGACTTTGTGGTTGCCTTTAAGAATGTATAATTGAGACACAAATTTTTAATGTTGAACAGTAGAACAAAGGGAAATGAAGGAAAATGGATTTTGAGGCATGTGGGGATAGCGTGTAGCTATATTTTTAGAATGATTTGCTTTTCAAAAGCAATGGACTGGCGGGTCCAGATTACATCTGAGTGGACTTGTCTAGTTATCCCTTGCCATCTAATCTCACTTCATTGCAACACCATTCTGCTCTAGACTTTCCACATCTCCAAGATCATAGACAGGTATGTGATTAGGGAGAGAATGCCAGGATTTTGACTCTGACAGTGAAGGAATGGTGATTTATATTTCCAAGTCAGGATGGTGAGTAGCTTGGAGGGAGACTTGGTGTTTTGGTGATGTTCCCATATATCTGCTGTCTTTTTCCTTCCAGATGGAAGTGCTTATGAGTTTGGAAAGTTCTGTGTAAGTTTCTTTGAATTTCTGCAGTACATCTTGTCGATATTCACACTGTTAGTGGAGTGTCTGCATGTTGTGCCAATCAAGCAGGATGCTTTGGCCTGGATGGTGTCAAGCTTTTTGGTGTCCTTGGAGTTGCACTTATCCAGGCAAATGGGAAGTTTTCCATCATTATTCTGACTTGTGCCTTGTAGATGACAGGCTTTGGGGACTTGGGTCGTGAGTCATTCACTGCAACATTTCTAGCCTCTGACCTGCTCTTGTAGCCACTGTAGTTATATGGTGGGTCCAGTTGAGTTTCTCTTCATTGATCACCCCCACGATGTTGATGTTTCTGTTTCAATGATGGTAACATCTTTGAATCTCAAGGGGTAGTGAGTAGATTCTCTTATTCTTCCACCATCAGTCACACAGTAGCTACCAATGTCCATCATCTGGAATCTGTACTGCAGCAATGAGCCAAGACTCCTTCGACAGCCTCTCAAGTCGCACACCATTCTTACATAGAAATATATTGTTCTTAATTATCCCAGATCCTTCTATTGCTGTTGACCATGGCTGAGGCAATTACCCATGTTATAAAATGGAGAACTGCTGATTGAATGTGAGGCATTGTGGGACCTGATCAATTGGATCACATTCCTGTAATTATTCAGTTACTGCAGCCACAGACCTTAAGTTTACTTATGAGGGCTTGCCGTTTCGGTGTACAGGCAAGCACATTGAGTAAATGACTGCTAGAAGAAACAAGCCAGGCATGTGGCTGAGATAAGGAAATTCTGAGCACGATATTCATTGTGAAGGCACAGGAACAATTGATAAGATGTCTGGTAAATATCATGATGTAGCGTTGTCCACAAGCTGATCATGTAGCCACATGATACCTGATTACTAATTTGATTGGACATGTATGTAATCAGTTAATACTGTGCTCGGTTTGGCTGAAGCCAGGATGGGCTAAAATATAAGATGTGTACGATTTCCTTTATTCAATGGAGAAGCGCATAGTGAGCCCAGTGACTTGCTCCCCACCAGTGTGAAATAAATCACTTGATGATTGGAATGGACCTGGGTGCTGAGTGATCTCTTTTAGCAAAAAATGACTTGACACTTTCAAATCCTGGAACTTCCTACTTAATGGTAATGTGCAACCCCCGTCACCGAATGGACTGAGGCATTTTGAGACAGCAGTTAACCATAACTTTCTCAAGGGTAAATAGGAATGGGAAATTAATGAAGACACTTCTAGTGATCTGCATGTTCCATGAGCAAATTTTAGAATTAGTCACCTGAAGACAGCCTTTTGCCTTGACTCTGTGTGCATGTTCCTAGGACTTTGACCAGCATACGGTCTAATTAATTGAAGCTGATTCCATTGGGACTTCATGTTCAGAGCTGCAGTCATAATACAGGATGGAACGTTTAGAGGCTTGGCTGCCTCAGACTACTCCATTTGTAAAGTTCTCATGTTTTGAACACTGTCCTATGTTGCTACATCACTCATTTTATGAATGAGAAGAGGGATATAGATCAAAAATGTTAAAAGTCGCATACAAATATATAATCTCAAGTCACTTGAAGATCGGCTGTGGTCCTTTTTTGCTTTCCCTCCAGCATTGTTTACATCTTGACATTTTATGCTTTCTTGCCAGTAATTTTTTTTTTGTGCATAACATCAAGCATCACAGGCCACATACAGCAATTAGTGTTCCTATTAATTTATATACATCTTGTGGAGGTGCTGGTATTGGATTGGGGTGGACAAAGTCAGTAGTTGTACAACACCAAATTATAGTCCATCAGGTTTATTTGAAGGCACGAGTTTTTGGAGCACTGCTCCTTTATCAGGTTAAGTCAACTTGGCCAGTCAAGACTTCACCTGACAAAGGAGCAGTGCTCCGAAAGCTTGTGACTTCAAATAAACCTGTTGGACTATAACTTATACAGTCATAAGTCGCATGACACTATGTATCAACCTGAAAGTTATAAATATACTTCTGTTTTCTTTTGAGTGATGTATCCATCATACTTTTTAGTCATACTTTTCATATCTCCAGACACTTTCTCTGAGATGCTCTTGAGAGTAAGAAGCGGAAATTAGCATAAATGGAGGGACCCAAGTCTCATGGGCTGATCGGTGAGGCTCTGTGGAAGTTTGCTGTTTGGGTATCCTGTCCACTTCTGTGGACTATTAGATTGGATCAGTCTTTGCTTAAAAGTGCGTAAATGGCTGCATCAAGTTTGTCGCTTTTAGCAACTGTGTAGCATCAGTCGGGTTACCGGTGCATGTACTTGTGTATCCATTGTAATCAATGCCTTGATTCCTTTTCCATTACTTTTGCACAAAAAGTTCTTAACCCTAGATTTGTATAGTCCTGAGCGCATGCTCTGGCACAATACAAGTTTAACTGAACAATGCAAGTGATTATACAGATGGGGTAACTTTTTTCACTGTTCACGTGGGCTTACATGTCGCATATTACAGAAATGCTGGTGACAGTCGTCATAGAAGTATAAACTGCAAATTGTGTTCAATCCGGAAAATGACCTAGGTAAATTTAATGGTGTTATTTTGAGTATTTGTGGGCAGTGGCAGTCATTCTGTTCCTTTCCTTCAACAGGACAGAAGGAGAAAGCTGTGGAATGGTACAAGAAGGGGATTGCAGAACTGGAGCATGGGATTGCAATCCAGATCTCTGGATCAGGTAAGGCATGCATATTAACAAATGCTAACCTGTTGCTGTAATGAATGAGGGTGCAAAGAAAATAGATGGTTTGAGTTGTCTCCCCAAGTGGCTTGGAGGTCAAGTAAGATTCAAAGGGAATAAGCAGTGGAGAGGAAGTTTTGAATGGCTGACTGCTGGAAAAACCTTGGCACGAGACTGGCACAAGTGTTCAGTTGTCTTGAATAACTTAATTTAATCTGGATGGAAACTGTATATTTGTCAATAGAATATTACTTCAAATCAGAACTTTGTAGCTATTCTTCTAAACATTAGGCACCTTGTCACTTCAGAATTGTTGCCTTCTCCATGCTACCTCAGCACTACATAGTGCTGTATCATCTTTTGTTTTTGTTTTTTTTTTATTAAGTTGAACGTTTGTGACCAGGAGTCCCCATATCATGCAACTTGTACAGAGGAAGTTCTGACAGTCCCTCAGTGGTGATTAACAGAGGAGATGATCCATAGTGGACAGCTCCACTGTGAGCAGCCAGTGGTAGTTAAGTTGACAGTGGCAGAGAATAATGGGGGTCCTCTGTATGCAAGTGTGAAATCTAGCCTTTGAGTCTGAATGTCCATGGGTTTGAAATAAAAGTTTTTTTTTTAGAAATGGAGTAGGACATTCAATCGATTTGAGCTTGTTCTGCTTTCAGTAAAATCATAATTGATCATTTGCTTTACTTAACCTATTCTGTCTAAATCTCGTAAGCCTTGACTTTTCTTATTGAAAAATCTGATGACCTGTGTCTTGAATTTACTCAAACTGAGCATTCCCAGCCCTCAGCTAAAGAATCTCAAAGATTCATAATCCTCTGAGTAAAGGAATGTTTCCTTGGTGGATTAGTAGTCAACCTGTTATCCTGACGCTGTAACACTCCCCATCTAAGGGAGACATTATCCTAGTGCTGACGAGCCTACTTAAGGGTAATTTCTCCATTCCAGGATTCTAACCCAGTGAATCTTGCATGCAAGGAAAGTATATCCATTCTTGGATAAGGAACCCAAAACTGTTTACAGTACTCGTGATGTATCCTGTCCAATGTCTCAATTGTAATAAAGTTGTTTTATTTTGTTGACTGTTTTGTTAAAATGGCTAATGTAACATTTCTTATTGCTTGTTTGCCTGCCTGCCTACTGTTAATTTGGTCATTTGTGTACAAAGACATCCAGCTCCCTCTGAAGAGGGATAAACACTTGTATTTCTCAATTTAATAAATATTCTGCTGTTCTAACTTCAAGTTTTTCTACATTATGCTCTTTCTCGCCCACTCAGTTAATCTGTCACTTCACAGCCTCTTTGCCTCCTCCTTAAGTCTCACTTTCCCATTTAGTTTAGAATCTGCCAACTTGGATGCATTACACTCGTTCTTTGATATTGATTGCATTTGGCTGAGACCTAAGCACTGATTCTTGAAGTATCCCACAAATTTTATAGCCTGCTACCTGAAAATGATCGTTTAATTCTTTTTGAGAGTCACCAAAAGACAGAAAACAGTCTGGGGTAATATGTTGTTGCTAATCCCGTGGGTTCAAACTTTGTTTAAATGCCCACATCATCGGTTATTAGCAAAATTTTTTTAAAAATCCAAAAATATCTTTTCGTTTCTTGCTTCTTTACCCTGCTGGTCACAAACTCAAACAATTCTAAAAGATTTGTGAAACACAGTTTGCCTTTTCATAAAAATCTGCATTGATTTTGCTCAGTTATTATAATTTTCCATGTGCCCTTAATAATAGATCCTTAGTGTTCTGTTTACTACTAACTATAAGATGACTGGTCCCTAGGTTCCTGTTTTCTTTCTCTGATTTGTTGAACAGCAGTGGTATGTTTGCTCCCTTCCAATCTGTAAGGATAATTCTTTGTGTTTATTTATAACACTCTTTCAGCGTGCATACACGCCCACCCATCCATCCAGGTTGTAATCCATCAGGCCCAGGGGACTTTGTCAGCTTTTAGTCACATAATTTCCCCAGCATTGTTTATTTGCTAATGTTAAATTCTCTTAAGTTCCTCAATCTGCCTGTGTTCCTTGCTGCTTCTGGAATTTTTAATGTGTCTTCTATAGTGAGGTTAGTGACTTTGCCACTTTCTCATTTCCCATTTTAATCTTTGTTTCTTCTGCCTCTAAGGGACCCAAATTTACTTCGCTAAACTCTTTCCTTGCCCACTGAAGTTTTTACATGCCTTTTTTAATGTCTTTAACCTATTCTGACTGTCTTGACCAATTTCTTAGCTATCCTTTCATTCCACCCCCAATCCTATTTCCGGAGGATTACTCCCCTTTTTGACAAAACTATGAACCTCTTCCTATAATTTTGTTAGCCATGATTGAAACACTTTTCAATGAAGCTTTTATTCCTTAAGGAAATGTACATTAATTGTGAATAAACTGTCTAAATGTGAACTGTTGCTTATCTACTCAATCATTTAATCAAGTTTCAGATTTTTTGTTTAGAAATTACCCTTGCAGCAGCTTGGTTTGCTTTGTTTGGATTTAAGACCCTAGTTTCGGCCTTAACTAAATGACTGCCTTTAAATTGGGTTGTGGTCAAGATTTGAGCACGTCAGCTAGTCCAGTTGTACTGTAAAAGTGCAACACCGTCAGAAACATAGTATGCTTGAGAATTAAATTGAGGTTTAATCTCCGGCATAGATAATCTCATTCTATTCAATTTCATTGAAAGAACGAGATTTAAGATGAGGCCATTATTTATCCCTGAGCTATCTTCATATTGTCTTTCAATTTTCATAGCATTTTGTAGGACTATGCTGTATTCACATTGAGTGCTACATTTCCCAACATACCACTGACTTCCAGTATGTCTTCCAAGCTCTTAATTGGTTATGAAGACTTTAGTCTAAGGTCATAGAAGGTTGGAATGTAATTTCATTCATTCTTACAGTTATGGAACTATACTAACTTTTTCTTGGATTTTGTCATGAGACATATTTTGAGGAAGTTGTTTTGCACTGTGTACAATTCTAGTTGCCCTCTTATAAGAAGGATATTATTAACTTGGAAAGAGCAGAGAAAAAATTACAAGGATGTTACTGGGACTGGAGGATTTGAGTTATGAGGAGAGGCTGGCTAGGCTGGGACTTTTTTCACCGGAACGTAAGAGGTTGAAGGGTGACCTTGTAGAGGTTTATAAAATCATGGATAGTGTGAGTAGCAAAGGTCTTTTCCCTAGGATAGAGGAGATCAAAACAAGAGGGCATATTTTTAAGGTGAGGAGAAAGATTTAGAAGGGTCCTTAAGGGCAACTTTTTTTTTCTCTTATTGTGGTTTGTATGTGGAATGAACTGCCGGAGGAGGTGGCAAATACAGATACAGTCACAACATTTAAAAGACTTGGACAGTACATGAATAGGTAAGATTTAGAGGGATATGAGCCAAGTGCAGGCAAATGAGATTAGTTTAGTTTGGGAAACTTGGTTGGCATGAATGAGTTGGACCAAAGAGCATGGAAAGAGGCCCTATGACTCTGACTTCCAAATTCAAATATGATGCATCGTATAATGGTTATTCTTGTATGGAGTTTACTTGTTATTAATTCTCCCAAGATCTTCTCTGGAAGAAAAAAAAACTTGTGCCCTATAAATTGATATTCTTTATGTTGCTAAATTGCTATATTCATAACTTAAATAACCTTTCAACATAAAAATATAAAAGAAATATGCTACCTCTTTCTACATACCTTCACATCTTCCACCTTCTCAAATCTTTGGGCTTGCTCCTCCCTCTCGTCTGAAATGGCCTAGCAAGCTGCTCGGTCTGTGGGCAAAAGACGCAACTGTGGATGCTGGAATTTAGAAACAAATACAGAAACTGCTGATAAAACAGCAAGTCTGGCAGCATCTGTGGAGAGAAGACAGTGTTCACATTCTGAAGAAGGGTCACTGAACCGGAAATTTTAACTCTACTTTCTGCCCATAAATGCTGCCAGACCTGCTGTGTTTTTCAAGCTTGTGGGCACAAACTTGAATTTGGAACAGGTTGGAAGGAGTCAACCTTCCACGTTAAAGTTATTGATATTTATTACCTTGGCTGCTCAAATGACATGATCTGATTTGATGGCTTTCTGCTTGGAACTGTATCTGTAGAACAACTGTCTATTATTTTAAAGACAGATAACAAAATTGAATCCTCATGTGACAGAGATGTTTAAAAGTCTGTTTTTCTTTCCCCAGAAGAAATTGCCGTGACAATTACATTCCCTGTGTTGTGTGAGATGCATCAGCTGAGCTTGGATAAGGGAAACTACCATCAATCGATGGAGATCCATTCATATTTGTCTAACACAATAAGTTTTAATGTTTCTGTCCATGGTTAAACAATTGGACAAGCCAACTGGAAAACTGTTGTTCTTCTGTTGATGGTTCAACCTTAAAGGCACAAGGAAATTTCTTAATGGCTGTGAATATTCATACTTAATTTGCTTAAGATTCAGGTGTCTAGAGCTTGAAATTCCGAAGATCATGTTTGCAGTGGACTTCTTAACAATTTTTGTGTTCAGAATTTTAGTGTATTGACGAAGTCCATAATATACTGGAAAATGAATAATGGAATGGTGTAACATGGTTAAAGCTGAATGGCCTCCCCTGTTCCTGTGTTTTAAATAGACTTGAGAAGTGATTGAAGCATTTGATATATTCTTCATTTCTAAGAATCTGATTATGGCAAAGGTACAAATTTCAGAACCATCATTCCCTGCAGGATCGCTCTGTTGTTGTTGCTTATTTTAGAATATAGTTACTGAAGTCAGTTGTTCACTGTCTCAAGACTGTGTTCCATTCTATTCATCACTCACTTCAAATCCATATCATCTGATGTCTTTATTTAACAAAATTCCACATTTATTTGCAATGCCACTGCAAAGTGAAGCGTTGCAGTCCATAGGTACAAAAGTCAGTTACACTTGACTTTGGAAAAAGCAACTGTTTGTTGTACCAGAATTTGCTACAAGCAGGAAACGAGTAA